GCAAAATCAATCTAGGGTTTGCTTCCTACTCTGTACTGCGCCGTCGCTCGTAGACTACTCCATCCCGCTCGCCGGCGTGCACCGGCGATCGGGAGAGCAGGTCTCCGGAACCTCTGCCTTCGACGTTCTGCACCGGGAGAAGGCGGCAATAAGGTTTTTGGGAAGCGCTTCGCGCGACTGCTCCCTGTTCGTTCGCGACGGCTCGCCTTCCTCTTCGCTCGCGTGTTTCGTGCCTTCGTAGACACTTGCGAAAAGTTTCGACCAAGCAGCCGGTCTTTCCGTCACCTCGGTACGTGTTCAATATGTTGCGCATATTTGATCTGTTCATGTTATACTGTGTAGTTTACATGTGTAGATCTAATGATGCGTTCATGCTAGTTTTCATCTGTAATGTCATGATTTATTTATGGAATAGATTAAATCATTATATGTCTATAATCTCAACATCATCAACGAGGAACATTTCGAAAATAAACTAACCCGAGATATAGAGGAAGTGGAGAGGAATTGGATGTCGGCGAAGGATGAATGGGCGACTAGAGGAAGCCCTCCAACATAACAGTGAAATCCTAGAACAGCACTCCTCTCTGTGTTTACAAAGTGCAATAACAGCACTCCTCACGAAAATCTCGACTAAACTCGAAACCCTAACTAAACTCACAACTCAATACTCTCAAAAGTGATACCGGGAAACCTCACGCTCCCTCTCTATTTATACTTGAGGTAGGCAGCCTAAAGCCACGAGCCAAACTCATACAAGAAGTTCTAATCCACCTAGGAAACCTTCGCGTACAAGAAACAAAATTTACAAACTCCAATCATACCAAATTTAGACTCCTTCCAAATTCGACACCGCATCACATACGCACACAATATCTCCATCGTATGCCATATGGAATCTTCACCAACCACATTAACCAACATATCAGCATATTGCCCTTATTTAAAAGCTAAATTTGCAATAGTAAAAACAATGGCCTTTTCTAACCTACAACTAAGTCCCCCAATGAAATTGTCCATTAATATCTAAGCATACACAAACTTCCATTTCAAAGGATCCATTCCTAATTTGAACTCTCACATTATGATTAAAATAAAATAAATACGGTTCTTCTATAATTTGGAGAAAAAAATTAGGGTTCTTCCCTAAATGCCTAAACCCTCACCATAGTCCTACATTTAACGGTTCTATGCGCATCTAATCATTGCATTGCCAACAACTACTACAACCACAATGTAGAGAACAAACTAATTAGAGAAAATAAACCCCAAATCGTGTTTCTAGGGTTCATCCCTCAATGAGCAAATCCAAGCAAAAAATGGACAAATAACGAGAAGATTCGGAGGAGAATACCTTGGCACTATGTCCCCCAATGATTTTCCCTCCAAAATACGAAGATTTTGTGGATATTTGCTCGATTTTGGAGAGGAGGAGAGAGAGAGGAGGGCGCCACGCCTTCTCAACCAAGAGGTGCGAGGAGGAAGAAGGAATGGCCTGGGGCCGGCTCGGCCCCGAGGGATATGTGGGGACCTCAGCGCCAGGCCTGTTGGCGGCTTGGCGCTGAGGTCGCGAAGGTCAGCGCCGATGCGGTTGGCGCTGACCTTTGCCACATGGGCCGTTTCGCCCCACCGCTTTTAGATGGCCGTTAGGACCTCAACGCCGATGCGGTTGGCGCTGAGGCGTTCTACCTCAGCGCCATCGGGTCTGGCGCTGAGCTCGGGGTCTAAATCTGGTGATAGTTTTCGGTAGGGACCAAATTTGAAATAAGTTTTAAAAAAGGGCCAAATTGTGAAATTTTCGGATGGTTACATACGCGATGAATGCTGCCTAATTCCGGTAGTTGAACACGTTATTTTGAGAGTAATTAAGCTCCAATGGATTGTAATATATAATTAATGGCAATGTGGATGTTGTTAATCGGTCAAAGGGTCAGACTTTCTTCTGTCGGTCAAGAGCGACTCCAACTACTGTACTATACTAACTAAACTACACTAGTGGATCATCAATTTTCCAAACAGTTAATTACTCGCTGGCGATCGAATCATACCTACTGTACTATACTATACTCGGATAAGCAGAGGAAGAGGAAGGACCAGCCCCTGATGAAACATCAGTCTTGAGATGCAACTTGTGAGTCAACTGGGTGACTTTCTTAATCATCCTCGTGAGACGAGGAGCATGCACAAGCCCTTTCCAGTAGTTGAAGGACCTTCCACACAAAGTTGAACACATGGAAGTGAAAGGGAGGAGGATCAATGAAAGGATCTTGATGTTGTTTAGAGGAGGGTGAATAGGCGTTTAAAACTTTTAAGTAAGTATGGAAGCTGAACTTTTCGGATATTTCCAAATATTTTTCAGATATTTTTGAAAATCTTAGATTTATAAGCAAACTAGCAAGGCAAGCAAAATGGGATAGCAGCACAATTAGGGAAGGGATTGCACAAACAACAACTAATCATACCTACTGTACTATACTATACTCTGATTTTCCAAACAGTTAATTGTATAGTGCAGTAGGTATGATTCGATCTTAAGCATCTAATCATATATTCTAACAGGAGGTATGTACTCGCTGGCGATCGAATCAAATAACAATTTCATATATAACTAGTCTAGAACAATTCTTAAGATGTGATTATGTGAAATGAGTTTTATGCTGATTTAGTAGTCATTGAGACTTATATTGCTCATAGTTTTAGGCTATGGGTACGGGTGGGTAAAGAATAAAACCATACCACGTATCCAATGGGTAAGAGTTTCCGTCCGTCAATAGACCCATAGCTATAAGAGTTAGAACATGATTAGCTTCTAATAGAGTAAAAATCCATCGAGTCTCGAGTTATGGGTCCCATTGCTATCTCTAGTTATGTGTCACACGTTATAATACATGTGGTTTTCCGCAAACTTTGATTTTTCTAAACTTTACTCTTTAATTAATGTCTACTAGCATCCCATCCTTCACTAATATATAGTATTAATCACATCGTTCGATCTACTCAACATTTGCCGTATATATAGCACTGAAAACATAGAGAGAAGGGGTGGTTGTTCAGTACATCGACCGGGCCGGTCACCAGCGGGCGCGAGTGCTGCAGATCAAAGAGGAAGAAACATATACGTACTACGTAGCCCATATACATCGGGCTGCAGCAAGGGAAGAAAATGAGAAGCACGGTACGTGTGGCTAAAACAAACTTATATATGCTTCATTTATTTTCAGATATCTCTAGGGTGGTGCCAAAATTAGCATAGGTAATTAAGTTTTGATACTACAAATTGTTTGATAGGATAAATATTTGTATTCATCTTATTTGGTTTGCTACTAAGATAAAAAAAGCAGAAAACGGCATACCTTAAGGGCCCCTTTGATTCGCAGGATAGGAAAAACACAGGAATAGGAAAAACACAGGAATTGAAGTAGTATGATTCTTCAATCCCGCAGGAATCAAAAACATAGGAAAAAATGAAAGGTGCCCTTTGATAGTGCTATAGGAAAAATACAGGATTTCTCTTCCGGTTTGAATTTGAACAGATAGCCGTTGGCGTTCAAAGCAAGTACTAGCCGTTGCATGTCCTTATATATATTGCTGTAGCTGCAACTGGACATCAACAAAACTAGCTCACCTCACCTTCGATTGTATCGGCCAAGCATGACAAGAGCTCAAACGTGGCAATTCATTTGGTAAGTCATAAATGATTTTTTTTCTTTTTGGTATGTATGTAAGGATTAACAACTTATTTGCTTGCTTCTGCTCTCCTATATATATTGGTAGACCAAACCATCAGATTTATTATTTGTTGTTGATTTCCCCTGTGATTGTCATGGATCCAAGTTATCGACGACGGTCACAGAATGAAGATGAGTTCATGCTTTTTGTTCTCCCTACCATCGAAGGAGATTCGTCACAACCATCATCTAGTAGGAAACCGATGCACACATCAAAACTTTCAGGGGCTTGTCGTGTTAATGAAATCTTAACAGGTCATCAGAGCCTAAGCAAAAGGAATTTTCGCATGGAAGTTAATGTTTTTCGAGCTTTAGTCGATAAGTTGCGTGAGAAACAACTACTTGCTGATGCAAGAGATGTCTCAGTAGAAGAACAAGTTGCTATATTCTTGTATGCACTAGCAAAAAATGCAAGTAATGAGACCTTGCAAGATCAGTTTCAACACAGCGGGCAAACAATAAGCAAGTATTTTGGGGTTGTGCTTGATGCAGTTAAGCAACTTACATGTGTATATATACGGCCACCTTTCCTACACCCCCATCATATCTTGAGAAGACCAAAATTTCACCCCTTTTTTGAGGTATGAACAGATTCATGTTTTGATTTTTTTTTACTTTGAGTTAAACCAATCATTGTACATAAAAAGACTTAATCAAGGTTATATTTGTATTTGTATAGAATTGTGTTGGCTCTATTGACGGGACACATGTACCAATGATACTTCCACTAGACCAGCAAGAACCATACCGGAATAGAAAGCAAACAATTTCTCAGAATGTTATGGTAGCTTGCGACTTCGATCTGAAATTTGTACATGTACATGCCGGCTGGGAGGGATCAGCTTCAGACGCAAGAGTTCTTCAAGATGCACTAAACCATGGTTTTGAAGTACCTCCTGGTAAATTTTTTCTTGTAGATGCTGGTTATGCAAATACAACACAGTTTCTAGCACCGTATCGTGGGACAAGATATCATTTAAAGGAACAGGGCAGAGCTAATCAAAAGCCACAAAATTATAAGGAGTTATTCAATCTTCGGCATGCACAACTCAGAAACCATATAGAGAGAGCAATTGGTGTATTAAAAATGAGATTTCCTATACTAAAGACCGGCTCACACCACCCAGCTCATAAACAAGTTGATATTTCGGTTGCCTGTTGTGCTCTACACAACTTCATACGCCTGCATAATGGAGATTTGGTGTGGCCAAGTAATTGTCGTTTAGAGATTGATCCAGATCATATTGTTGATGTGCCAAATGGAGACGAGAACTATAATGGTGATGTACAAGAATTTAACAACTCTAGAGAAGCTGGGAATAGAAAACGAGATGACATGGCACAACGGATGTGGAACCATTACGTAGCACGAAGGAAATAATATATTGCATTTGACCACCATGGCATTCAAGGTCAATTACTAGTCTTGTACTCCAAGTTTGTCACATTCTACTTAATGAAGTAACTACTTGCATGCACTCCCTCTAAGCAAAAGTATATCCTACTACTATCTGCTTCACAAAAGTACCCCCTTTGTTTCACAAAAGTACTATCCTTCTATTTGCATGCCATCTATTTCACAAAAGTACTATCCTACTACTTGCATGCCATATGTTTCACAAAAGTACTCACTCTAATGCTGCGATTTCCTTTCTAATCCAAGCCAGGCGTAATGCATCACTTGAAAAGGACAAGAAAACTTCCCTATTATCCTTACCTTTGAAGATATCAGCTGCCACCAATATATCTCCTATTTGTAGACCATGTAAACCTTCAAGCACTGTGATACACTTGTTGATGCTGTAAGGATCCTCCAATTTCTTCTCCTCAATTGCAGCAAATCGATCTATTTCTTCTTTTTTAAGTTTTAGGTATCTCTCATGAAATCCATCATCAGGACTAACAGATTTGATCTTTTGTTTCTTCCCAGGTCGAGATTCAGGAACCTCTGAAGGTGTTTGTGCCGAGCTAGGTGGGACTTTTGTGAGATGGACAGGGGTAGGTGAATGCTGTGAAAAGTCCAAATTGGCTGTCTCAACCTCTTCACCAAAAGGAAATTGCAAACCTGATTCACCTGGAGCATTTGAATTAGGGGATGGTGACTGATATGTATCAACCGCATTTGCTTCTTGTGTTGAATGAGCTGGTGCATTCTTTGTCTTCCTTGCATAATGGTCCATACCATGGCGAGTTCTCCCTTCAGCATAACGACCTGCACAATTATATTCTCCTCACGATCAGCATAACTTGCCTAAAACATTTCAACAAAACAAACAAACCACTGATAAAAAAAATATAAAGCTCACCATCATAAAGTGGAGCTAAATCATCAAAATATGGGAACGACTTATCTCGCCAATGAATTGCATCTTTGTTCTTGCGATCAGCAAAAGTGTCCCAAACACTTTGTGGTGCACTCACCATCATTCTGTCACTATCCCACCCAAAACCACTTTGATCCAACAAATCTTTAACACTGCGATAATCTTTCTTCAAATCCTGCTCCTTTTGCTTGACTTGGTTGGTCGTAAATGATGTACCGAATTTTGTATTCAGGCGGCAAACAATATTTGTCCATGCTTCCTTACTCCAAGCATTTTGTGTTCGAAAACCTGGCACGTCATGATCTGTTAGGAGCTCAATAAGGAACATCTTCATCTGGTGACTCCATCTGGCTCTCTTTGTCGTCCCTAAATTTGACAAACATTTAACAATTTCAGTTTCAGCAGCAATATGAAACAAAAAAGGTTTGATGCAAACAACAAGTGAAACTGAATTTGCAAATATTACCTATTTCTTGACGCTCTGCAGTCCCATGCTCACTGTCAACATCAACATAAACCTGTGATAGAGGTTGCTGGGCTCGTCGATCGGACAAATTGCGTTGATTTGTCATGGTCATCTGAGAAGAGCCTTTCGATGGCATTGCTTTCCTAACCCCAAAAAAAAAGAAAGAAAAAAGAAATACATAATCCTTATCAGAGAGGGATTTACACCTACAGTGCCAATGAAACAAACTAGTTCCAAGTAGTCAGCTTAAAAATTCACTAATCCATAGATCCAAAGTACAGAAGCACTAATAAGTCAATAATAAGTCAAGTATGAAAGCTCAAAAGTGCAGACAAATACCAAATCGATGGCCCTGGCTGCTGCCCTCGATGGCGGACCTGCCGCACGCCTCCGCCTAGCGGAGCCCAACCTGCGCGCCAGATGGATGCTATGCTTGGTTGCTGCGTGTTGCTAGTTGTTGGGCCGGCGTCCCCAGCGGAAGCCGCATACGCGACTGAGCCGGCGAGCCTCGCCTCCGCCTTGCACCCCCAGCGGCCGGCTCAAGCTGCTGTCTATCTCTATCACAGTTGGCTTTCTTGGCTGCTAATATGTGGTCCTCGGTGTTCTCGTTCCCATCTTTCTCTCTCTCTCTTTTTTTCTGGAAGAAGCGCGAAGGGCCACGGTTTACCGCCAAACACACAAAAGTGGCGCCAACGACGACGTGCGCACGCGTGGGCGCGCCCTTCTTTCGCGCCAGGAAAGTTTCCAAAGAGGTCAGACCTCTTTCTTATTTTCCTGTGAAAATGAACTAAAGGAATGCAATCCTAAGGAATGTTTCCTTTCATTTCCTATGAATCAAAGACATACATAGGAAAAAATCCATAGGATTGTAAATCCTACAAAAGTCCTATGCCAATCCTTTGAATCAAAGGAGCCCTAAGGTCCCAATTGAAAATAACATTCCAAACCGATGACGCTCCGCTCCCTCGTCGTCGTTCCGACGTCCTCTGGTGACGCGGGGCGGCCGGAGAGCCCGGCCTCGCGGGTCGACCTCTCCCCGACTCCGTCCCTGTTCAAGGAAGTCTCTCTCTCCCTCTCTTCTTCCTCTTCCCTCCCTTCTTCCTCCCTTCCTACCTCGATGTCGCGCGGCGGCCTCCTCTGACGCGGCCGGCCTCCCCGGCTGTGGTCGTGGTGACGGCGGGACGGCCCGCCTCCCCTGCTGCACCGTCGGGACGGCCTGCCCCGCCCTCGGCCGGGCGGTGCGGCGCCCCAGCTGCGCGCCCGCCCTCGGCGTCGCCCTCGGCCTCGCAGGCCTCGCTGTGCGGCGCCTCGGCTGCGCGCCCTCCCTCGTCTCCGACCCGCCAGCGTTCTAGGGCGCCGCGCCGACGCGCCAAGGCGCCTCCTCCAGCCTCCATCTTCAAGGGCGTCTTGGGGGCTGCCCCAACACCGCCGCCTGCGGCGCCTGCAGCGCCTGCTGCCGCGGCGGCCGTGCCACCGCCAGTGGCTGCTCGGCAGCCTGCGCAGGATGGGGACTGGAAGCCGGGCCGTCGTCGGCGCCGCCGCTGGCCTCGGCAGCGCCGTCCTGGGGCCTCCGTCAAGCCTTCCTCCACGGAGACGCGCACCGGTATTCCGCCGGAGCTGTAGGACCGGTGCCTCAACTGCTTGTCGTCGGCGCACCAGATTGCGACCTGCCGTCTCCCGGTGCGTTGCCGTCGTTGCTTGGGTCTCAACCACCTCGCTCGCGACTGCAAGCGTCCTCGCAGCCCGAGCTCGCCATCGGAGCGGCAGGGCGGCCGCCGCGTCCTTCCGCGCCGTGCGGCGTCGCCCTCTGACGCCACGCCCTCGGCCTCGCAGGCCTCCACGCCTGTGGGTTCGCCGGTGGCGGCTCTTGCCCCTTCTCCGCCTCCTCTCTGCTTCAGTGCGTCGCCGATTCGCTCAGAGGACGAGTCGCTTTGTGTGGTCGAGCGCTCGCCGCAGCTCATAGAGGAGGAGGGCCGGCTCCGGCGTGCTCTCTTCGCCCGGGTGAGCGGCCTGGACATGGCGCTGTCGGCCGGCGATGCCGCCGCGGCGCTGTCGGCTGCTCTTCACCTCCCCGCAGGCCGCTTCTCCGTCCACTGCGCGCAGCCCGATCACTTCCTCATCGTCTTCGCTAACTCCGGTGACATGGACCTCGCGCTCTCGCGTTCCCCGATCCCGGCTCCCCCCTACCAGCTGATTCTACGACCATGGACCCGGCTTGTGATGGCTACCTCCTTCTCCATGCCGTTCAGGGTGTCGCTGGACCTCGAGGGTGTACCGGCACACGCCTGGAACGCGTCCACGGCGGCGGCCCTCGTCGCTCCCGGTCGTCTCATCTCTGTGGACACCCCGGCGCGCCCCGACGAGTACCGGTTTCTTCGAGTCACCATCTCGTCGCACAACCCGGCCGCCATTCCCAAGGCTCGTCTTCTTCTCATTCCCGAGCCGACGTTGGGCTCCCAGTGCCTTCTCCGGTATCGGGTCCTTCTCCACGTGCTCTCGGTGGTCTGCCTCTCGGCCCCCTCGGCGTCTGGCGATGTCGACCCGGCCGGTGGCGGTGGTGCTAGCGGTGAGGGTGGTGGCGCTGCGAACGATGGTGGTGGCGCTGCGAACGATGGTGGTGGCGACCTCGGCGCTCGTTCTTCGCGAGGTTTGGACGGGGGTAGTCGGCGCGATGGCAGCCGGCGCGACGGTGCTCCGCAGCGGCGCTCGTCAGGCGTTCTCAGTGATGTGCGCCTTGCGGAGGTCGCTGGCGCGGAGGCGCGCTCCCCGGCGTTGGCGGCGTGCCCGGCGGGGTCTGCCGACGCGGCGGTGCGGTTCCCAGTGCTGCCAGCGTGTCCAGCTGTGGGGCCCACCATTCAAACGGCTTCACCTGACTTGGTGCCCCCCTGGCGTCTGCGGCTGTGGCCATCTCTCCTTTTGAGGCCGTTTCTCCTTTTGACCACTCTCTTTTTGCTTCTTCTTTTGTCTCCTCTCGCGATGCTTGGGCGTTGGATCCCATGTTGATTCCCCCATCGCTTTCCACGTCGCTCGCTGGCTCTTTGGACGCGGTGATGGCAGGCGCAGAGAGCGCGGCGGGTGCGGAGAGCGCGGCTCCCCCTCCGCACGTGGCAGCGGTGGCTCTCTCTCCGCGCGCGGCCTCGCCAGCTGGGCTGCTCAGTCCTGGCCCAGTCTCTTCTTCGCCAGCTGGGCCGCTGGGTGGGCCGTCCCCTCCCCTTAGGCTGGTGGACTCAGCTGGGCCGACGTGTGACTTGGAGGAGTCGCCACCTCTTGTGCCGCTTGGGTCGCCGCCTGCGCTGGCCCATGCAGCCCATGCGGCCACCTCATTTTCTCCGTTGGCCGACGACGGACGGGGCTTGCTGCTGGCGTTGCCGGACGCCACGAATTCGCCAGCTGCTGCAGACGCCATCACGGCCTCTCCGGTCGACGTCGTCCCGCCGGTCGACGCGGGCTCGCCAGCTGCCGATGTGGCCACCACGTGCTCTCCGGTAGCCGCTGGCATGCCGGCCGCCGCCGTGGCCGCTGCTGGCTCGACGGCTCCTGCTGTGGTCGCCCCGGACTCGCCAGTTGCTGCCGTGGCTGTCTTCAGCTCGCCAACTGTAGTGGCTGCCTCCAGCTCGCCAGCTGCTTCGCCGGTTGACATCGTGGCCGCCTCTTCTTCGCCGGCTGCCGCCGTGGCCGCCTTCGGCTCGCCGACTGTCGTGGTTGCCTCCAACTCACTGGTTGCGGGTTCACTAGCCGCCGTCGTCTCTCCGGTCTGCGCCACTTCACCGGTTGCTGCCTGCCACCCGCCGACCGCATCTTCCTTGCTGTCTGGCCCTTCGGGTGGCGGCCCGGCGTTCCCTGCCTCGCCGCTGTGCTCGCGACGTTCGCCGTTGTTGGCCGATGGGATCGCGGCCTCCTACGCCGAGCCGACTGGTCTCTTCTTCGACGAGCTCGACGCCCTGGCCGCGGAGTTTGGTCCGGCTGTGCCTTTGCCGCCCAGGGTATCGCCTGTGCCGCCGTCCGCCTCCGGTGCAGGCACTTCTCTGCCGAGGACTGCCTGCACACCGCCTACTGGTGGGGAGTGGCTGAGGCCTGAGTCGCCGCTTTCTCAGCAGGCTCCAACTTTGGTGGTTGATGTGCCCGACGGCGTCCTCTACGATGTGCCGATGGTTGTCCTTGACCTCGATGGCCGCCCACTGGCGCACTCGCTTCCATCTTCTGTGGCAGACAACGCCGCTCTTCACGCCTTCCTCACCAGCTGCTCCAGGCCTCTCCCTCCTGCGCTCCTCCCGCCGCCTTTGCCGCTGCCGCCTCTC